ACACACACACACACACACATATATAGACATATCTTCTGTCACACCTAGTATATTCATGGTTGTAGTCCCATTTGCCTTCACACACCTGTTCAGTTGACATGTATATTTATGTATCCGCTCACAGATTATCGCAATTTTGTTATTGCAGGATGTGTATGTCACAGTATCTACCTCTGTTGCCTTTAACTCTTGTGCACCTCCCAGTGTCTTCCTTTGCCTTGATCATTTTGTGCTGACACTTAAAAAAAAAACCTACTATAGATTAAATCAGAGATCTGTAAGAATCACCTGGGATCTTGTGAAAATGTAGATTCTGATTCAGTATATCTAGGGTAGAAAGGTGTCACAGAACCCAAAACATGAAGCACAAACTGACAGAATTGAAGGGAAAAATAGACAATTCAACAAAGATAGTTGGAGACTTAATACCCCATTTTCATGGATAGAACAATTAGGCAGGAGGTCCATAGGGAAATAGAAGACCTGAGTATCACTATAAACCAAGTAAAACTAAGACACCCATGAGAACATTTCATTCAACAATATCAGAATACACCTTCTTACATGTACATGTTGGGGTATAAAACAAGCTTTAATAAATTTAAAAGATTTGAAAGGATAAAAAGTAAGTTCTGTAGCCATAGTGGGATGAAATTTGAAATCAATAGCAGAAAATATTTGGCAAATTCATAAATACATGGAAATTAAACCACATACTCTTAAATAGCCAATTAAGAAAATCTCACAAAGGAAACTAGGTTGGGTTTAGTGGCATAAAATTATGTGGATTAAGTTATTTCTGTAGATAGCTGATTTATTACTAGCTGTTTCTTCCATTGTGTGCATTTACCTGATGCTGTAACACGAAGGTGCATAACCGGGGTTCTTAGGAGATGTTGACATGCTTTTGTGATGCCTGTCACCATATATGAGTATTACTAGTGAAGAAACAGGTTTGAAATGTATGAACTAGTCTAATGTTTGTCCAGTTGTCATACATGCTTGTGCAAGGGATTTAGATCTCATTGACACCAATTTAAAAGTTCTCTCCTGTCAGGCATATTCATTCTTTTTTAAATAGGAGTCCCAAGAAATAGAGTTCCTGATTAGAGAGCACAGCCTTGTGGTGGGCCTACACACAGAAAGTGCACCTGTGAGGGGTCCCTCGTGGTGGGGGTGTTTCACATCTCAGCAGAGACTGTATCCTAGTGAATTTCTTACATCTTATCCCGACAGAGCCTGCCAGCTCCAGGTGAAACGACATGGAAACCATACCCAAAGCAGTTATGTATCAGGAGGGAGAGATTTATTATAGAAGTAATAAATGGACTCTTGGATTGTTGGTTAACTTTTCCAGGTTTTTCTTTCTTTAAAAAAAAAAAAAAAAAGCTAAGCTTGTGTATATTATACACAAGAGAACACTTTTCCTGTATAACAAGCTACAACAATCAAAATAAGAAAATTTTAATACTGACATACTGTTACCATCTGATCCTCAGATCCTTCTCAAGTTTTATCTGTGTGAAGTTGTAAAATGCAATTATAAATACAAATAAATTGCTAATTTAGAATCTTCTTTCTGTTGAAATGGTTCTTTCATCATAATGGAGTACTATTCTGTGTTGCCAATGATGCTTTTTTCCTTAAAATCTATTTTTAAAAAAATACATACATACTCACTTTCTGATAGTATCTGCCTGGTATCTTTTTCTATTATTACACTTTCAGGCTTTTTTAAATTTTTTTTATTTTAAGAGCTTGTTTTACATTCAACGTTACATACTTTCAAGCTTGTTTTGTTCTTATGTCTTAAGTATGTGTTTTTAAAGCAGCTTATAGGTAGGTAGGTAGAATTTCTTTTTGTTTTTATCCAGTCTTAAAATTTTGTGTTTTAATGGGCACGTTTAGCCCATTTATATTTATTTTGGTTACTTATAATTTTGCATTAATTTAATCAGCTCTCTTATTCTTCTGCTTTGCTTTCTCCGTGGGTTTTTTTTTTTAAAAAAAAAAACCAAAAAAACTTCTTCCTGACTTAAGATTAAACAAACATCATTTTTTTTCCTTTTCTATTGGTTTGGAAGCTATACATTCTTTTTTTTTTTTTTAACTTTTAAAAATGATTATCCTTAAATGTTTAATATGCATTTTAACAAAGTCAAAAGTTAATTATAAAGGAGCTCTGGTGACGCGGTGCCTACAAGACTGCTAACCGGAAGGTTGACGATTCAAACCCATCAGCCGCTCTGCAGAAGGAAGATGGAGTAATCTACTTCCACAAAGATTTACCACCTGGGAAACTCAGTGCGGGTCTCGATAAGCAAAATTGACTCAATGGCAGTGAGTTCGGTTTAGAAAGTTAATTATAATGCTGGTATCCTCTTCTCAAATAATATAAGGTATTTAGAATTCTGGAACTGTGATTTTCTCTTTTTGATATACATGTCATTGTTGTCCAGTGTTTTAGTTACTGTTAGTAGGTACTGTCTTCCATATATTTTTATCAACTCTGGAGTCTAACCAGTATCTCTTCAAAATCTTCTCTTTTTTCTCTCTGTTCCTTCTTTTTTGGACTGCCTCATCCAAAAAAACCCAACCAAACACACTGCCGTCAAGTTGGATCCGACTCATAGTGACTCCTTGGGTTTCCGAAGTGGTATCACTGTGGAAGTAGATTGCCCAGTCTTCCAAGGAGTGGCTGGTGGGTTTGAACCTGCAGACTTCTGGTTAGCAGTCAGATGCCTTAGGCACTATTCTACCAGAGCTACTCCTGCCTCATAGCCCTCCTCATTTTGGACCATTTTATCTTATTCCTCCTGTTTTCCTCCCATTTTTTTTCCTATCTTAAACTCTGTGTTGCCCTTTGTAACTTTTTTTTATTTTATCTTCTTGACCACTCTGTTTGCATCTAATGTGCTGTTTCTTCCCATTTCTAGCTGTTCTACTTGGTTAATTTTGAAATCTTCTCATCTTGTTCCTGTTAGCTGTTTCTGACTCCTCCTTTATGACTTCACACATTGGAATGTATTTATTTCATGGTTCTAGTCAATAATCTTATTAACTTTGGTTCTTACTGGTAGTCCTGCTTTGCTCAGTCACAGTAAAAGATTGATCCTTATGTGTGGTATAATTTGAAATTGTAGCATCCGATCCAGCAGGACTTTGTGTGTGGGAGTCCTGAGGGACCTCGGTAGAGAGTAGGTCCTTCCCAGGTACGTTTGTTTACCTCTGCACCACGTTTCTGGGGGGATGGCATTCGAGTGAGACCATTTTTTATGCTAGTTTCTCAGTGAGGACAGCTTGGTCCCAGTCGACTTAGGTGCTTTCGATTTGAACTCTGAACTCACGTGAGGGCAGGCCCAAGATTATAAACTGTCAAGAGATATTCCTCGTTTCCCCTTGACAAGAGCCTAGGTCTTATGACTTCCCTGTGTTCATGAGGTGTTTTTTTCCCCCAGCAGTTGGCCCTTTCTCTGAAGTTGTAGTGCTCCATTGGTCCCAGCTGTGGATTAGGGGGGTGGGATGTCTCATTTCCCATTCCCCACCTCTAACTGGGCCCAAGCCTTTGTCTTTACTAGTAGCTACATGACTGTTACAACCTAAACATCTTGGTGCCAAACCCATTGCCAATGAGTTAATTTCTACTCATAGTTATGCTATAGGGCAGAGTAGAACTGTCCTGTACGGTTTCCTAGGCTGTAAATCTTATGGAAACAAACTGCCCCATTTTTTTCCCACAGAGCCAGCTGGTCGATTTGAACTGCCACCCTTTCAGTTAACAGCCAAGCACTTAACCACTGCACCCAATCCCATGAGGAAACTTCAGTGCCAGCTGAAATGTACTGCTCTGTCTCTTCCTTTAGTCGTCTTTTCCTCTTTAGTTTTAGCTGGCATGTCCCTTACTTTCTGTGAGGTCAGCCATAACATTTTACATGTTGTTAAATATTTTATTCGGCATTTTTGGGTTTTACAGAAAGGTTTTCTAGGTTGTCTGGTTTGCCATAATAGTAGAAATGGAAGTCTGTTGCCTGCTTTTTTAATTTTGTAGAACTTATTGTTCCTAAATAAGTGTTTTCTTCTTTTATTTAAATTATTTAAAAATACATACATGAGTCTATTCTGTTTAAAAAATTCAGATGTTATATACAAAACAAAACTAAAATCTAGTTTGACTTTCCCCTTTGCCTAGAGCAACCTATAATGTTCTGTGTATATCTCCACTGAAATGGTTTCTAAAGAAACAGACCATTGTGTTAGGATTCAAGCCTACAGCGTTTGTCAGGAGGTGGCAAAATGGACCTGAATGTCTGGAGCATTTCTGTTCAAATGCCAAAGACAGATTTCATAGAAGCTGTCTGTTGGCTAATCAGGGCATGTATGTCATACTTGAGTTTCTCTGTAAATACCTACACTTTGGGAAGAGGAGACATGTTAAGAAGGTGTGGGAAGGTTGCTTTGTATATTGTGAAATTTATCATTGATATACAGCAATGATACAGGATTAATTTATATCACCTGTAAGTTATAGTAGCTCATTATTTTAACTTTTTCTTAGAAGTGTTTAGTGCTTTGCCATTTACCAAGAACTTTCCTTGCAATCTCTCGTAACACATGGAGGAGAGAGATAGTAGGCATCCTTATCCCCATTTCACGACTAAGTGGAGCCCACTGAGGCTCGGTTTCATTAATGGCTTGTAGAAAGTTAATAACCCCTGAGGTTGTGCAAAGCTTTTCTTACATCCTGCCACTGCCGTGAGAAGTGAGGCCAGTGATTTTTTGCCATGTCGTCACTGGAGGCATTTTTTGTTAGGGTGAAACTAGATGTCAGCTCAAGATTGACCAAAAAGAACCAATGTTTTCTTGCATGATTATTCAAAGTCATTCTGTCAACATATTTGAGCACCTGATGTGTTCTAAGTATAGGGATTACAAATGGATGCTGAAGTGCAGGTTTTAGATTTACGACTGACATTTTCTCTCCTTTCCTTCTGTAGACTGATAATGGTCTCCAGCTGCCGAAGACGGTTGTGGATGCCAAGAGAAAGGTAGCCATTTTCCGTCCCCTTGAGTGGAATTGTATGCCTCTAGGAGCCCATAGTGGCTAGCAGTAGACATGGCCGAATTTACAAGCTACAAGGAAACGGCCTCTAGCCGCCACCTGCGGTTTAAGTTACAGAGTCTGAGCCGGCGCCTTGATGAGTTGGAGGAAGCCACAAAAAACCTCCAGAAAGCAGAAGATGAGCTCCTGGATCTACAGGACAAAGTGATTCAGGCTGAAGGCAGCAACTCCAGCATGCTGGCTGAGATCGAGGTGCTCCGCCAGCGAGTGCTGAGAATTGAGGGCAAAGATGAAGAGATCAAGAGAGCGGAGGACCTGTGCCAGCTGATGAAGGAGAAACTCGAAGAGGAGGAAAACCTCACCCGGGAGCTGAAATCGGAGATTGAGCGGCTCCAGAAACGAATGGCCGAACTGGAGAAGCTAGAGGAGGCCTTCAGCAGGAGTAAGAATGACTGCACCCAGCTTTGTTTGAGCCTGAATGAGGAGCGAAACCTGACCAAGAAAATCTCCTCAGAGCTGGAAATGCTCAGGGTCAAAGTGAAAGAACTGGAATCCTCCGAGGACCGCCTGGATAAAACTGAGCAGAGTTTGGTGTCAGAGTTAGAAAGGCTGAAATCATTAACTCTGAGCTTCGTAAGTGAGAGAAAATACTTGAATGAAAAGGAAAAAGAAAATGAGAAATTAATAAAGGAGCTCACTCAGAAACTGGAGCAGAACAAAAAAATGAGCCGAGATTATACAAGGAATGCTTCTAATGACCTACGGATTGAAGATGGTATCTCTTCCACACTGCCGTCCAAGGAGTCAAGAAGAAAGGGATCTCTGGACTACCTGAAGCAGGTAGAGAATGAAACACGGAACAAATCGGAAAATGAGAAAAACCGAAATCAGGAAGACAACAAAGTCAAAGACCTGAACCAAGAGATTGAGAAACTTAAGACACAGATCAAACATTTTGAATCTTTGGAAGAAGAACTTAAGAAAATGAGGGCCAAAAACAATGATCTTCAGGATAATTACCTAAGTGAACAAAATAAAAACAAACTCTTAGCCAGCCAGCTGGAGGAGATAAAGCTACAGATCAAGAAACAGAAAGAGTTGGAAAATGGGGAGGTAGACGCGGAAGACGCTTACCTACCCAGCAAGGGCAGGCAGGAGAGGACTAAGTTTCGAGGCCATGGCAATGAGGCACCTGTGTCTAAGCACACGTCCCGAGAACTGTCTCCTCAGCATAAGCGGGAAAGGCACCGGAACAGAGAGTTTGCACTCAATAATGAAAACTATTCTCTGAGCAACAGACAGATGTCCTCTCCCAGTTTTGCCAATAGGAGGGCAGCCAAAGCTTCCAACACAGCCGCGACAGGTACAGACTGTGGGACTCAGGAGACAAAAAGAAATGAAGACCGATTTGCATCTGGCTCCTCTCAAAGCGAAGGGAAAAAATCCAGGGAGCAGCCATCCGTTCTGAGCCGCTACCCCCCAGCTGCCCAGGAGCACAATAAAGTTTGGAAGGGAAATCCCAAGCCAGGCACTGAGAGTGGATTGAAGGGAAAAGTAGAGAAGACAACAAAAACATTCAGTGATACCACCCATGGATCTGTTGCCAATGACACAGTGGGTAGAGCTGACAAGGCTTCTGACATCTCCTCTGAGGCCCTCTTTGGCAAGAGAGGGCAGGTGGTTGGCAGTGGAAGTCAAGCAACGCAGGCTGTAGACGCTGGTGGGTCAAAGGCCATTGCAGCTCTGGCCTCACCACGAAGATCCTCCTTAGAAGGGCTCTCTAAGGGCAAAAAGTCTGCCGGCAGCCAGGAGGCTGATCCCAGTTCCTCCAACTCCAAGGCTCCTGTTTTATCGAAGTATCCTTACAGCTCCAGAAGTCAGGAGAACATCCTTCAGGGCTTCTCAACCCTGAGTAAAGAAGGAGTTGATCAATCCGTAGCAGTTGTGACAGAAGATAGCAGTCAGCATGAAGCCCTCAGGTGTCGAGTGATCAAATCCAGTGGCAGAGAGAAACCAGACTCAGATGATGACTTGGACATGGCATCTCTTGTTACTGCCAAATTGGTAAACACAACCATCACTCCAGAGCCAGAGCCCAGACAGCACCACTTTAGAGAAAAGGCTAAATCCCGAGGAGGCCTCAGAACCTCCCTGTTTGAGAATGATAAAGATGCTGGGACAGAAGGTGACTCTGTGAAATCTGTCAGAGCCTCCCCTGGTGCCATGGACCCCCCTGATGCCAGTGGTGCTGGGATGAAGGGCCAAAGGCCCTTCAGCCCCAGGGAGGCTTTGCGGTCCAGAGCCGTCATCAAGCCCGTCATCATTGATAAGGATGTGAAAAAAATCATGGGAGGGTCCGGAACTGATGCTGCACTGGAGAAGCAGAAATCCACCTCCAGAGCAGGGCCAAACAAAGTGACCAGCAGCATCACTATCTACCCCTCCGACAGCAGCAGCCCCAGAGCCCCTCCAGGTGAGGCCGTGAGGGAGAGGCACACAGCCACCAGCAACATCCAGGTTGGCCCGCCAGACCTCACGTCAGTCAGCAACCATGTCAGCTCCCCCTTTGAGCTCTCCATTCACAAACATGACATCAGCCGGCAGCTCACAGAGACCGAAAGAACGGGAGAAGGGCCCCTGAAGAGCAGGCCAGAAACAGTGGTGTCTCGGAGTAGCATTATCATCAAGCCGTCAGATCCTGTGGAGAGGAATAGCCATGCACCCCCCGCGGAGACAATCAGGTGGAAAAGCCATAACGCCCCTTTGGAAGCAGGCTCCACAGATACCAGACACGTTACTGTGCGGAATGCCTGGAAGAGTAGGCGAGACTTGAACTCTTTAGATGACCCCCCGACTCGGAGAGGCAGAAATGTGGATTTGACCAATGCCTACACCCAGAGGTCTTCCACGGACTTCTCAGAACTTGAACAGCCCAAGTCATACCTTTTTGAGCAGGGCACTCGCAGGGTGGGAAACCCAGGGGATGGCCCTGAGCTTTCCTCCAGAAGGACCCAGAGTAGCCTCACCGTGTCTGAGGTGCTTACCCGCCGGAATCGGGCAGGAGACGCTGTCACGACGGCAGCCTGGAACCACTCGGTGGCCCTGGTGAGTCTGTTTCTGCCTTCCCTCCCCGGCCCCTTTCTGCTGCTCTCCCTTCCTCTCTCCTTCCACTGTTCCTTCTCCTTTGCGTCCCTCTGCTCTGGCCCTTGTGACCCGGGATTAGAGAACAGTGGAGCCAGAGAGCACAGGGTCGAACTGCGTAGCTCAGAGAACTGTCGAACCTCACATGGGTCTGGCCCAGCTTGAAGGCGGTGTCAGCAGAGAGCACCATCAAGTTCCATTTGCCTCCCCCATTTTGCCCCAATATATGAAGATCCCCCAAAGAGGAATTACGGCCTTTGTTCTCTTGATTTGTTACTGTAGCCAGAGGAGCTCCCCTTACGGCCCCATGGAGGAGAACCTACAAGAAACAGCTACAGTTGATGGCAGCTTTGAGTGAAAGTAGGAAGCCCAGTGTCCTTTCTGTAGGGCACAAGATGGGAACTAGGTGAACAGCTTCTTGGCTGCTTCAGTTTAGACAGCGGATCTTTGTAGGTTGCTAGCACAGAGGATGGAGCAAGGGCTTACACTGGACTGGCTTTACAAGCTTTAGGCCTGAGGGTCACTTTCTCTTGCCCCAATAGCTGTGTGGCCCATTATAGCATCAGCCTCAGAGCTGTCAGTATGGCTTAGCACAGATAAATCCAGAATCACCTGCCTTACTCAAGAGTCAGAGCGTCAGAACAGCATCCAAAGGAGAAGCTTTAGGGTGTCTCTTAGGGAACCTGTGATGACGAAAGACAGCTTGGACCTAGATGCACTGGTCCCTTCTTTAAAAAGGAAGGTGACTTTGTGTGAATTTGAAGAGTCCTGTGAGTCTGCACTGTACTTAACACTGGACAGTACTTTGCCACCCACCACCTCATTCAGGCCTCCAAGCATCCCTGTGGGCAGTTATTATCCCCATTTCTCAGATACAGAAATGGAGGGTCAGAGGCACCAAGTGTCAAAGATTAGCCAGGTGAAATACTGGAAGAGCTAGGATTTGATTCCAAGA